TTGCGTTCGCGTGCGGCCTCGTTCTTTTGGTGCGAGTTTGCAGCGGCGGCCTCGATGGCGGCGGCCTTGAGGCCCGAGTAGCCCTTCTTCTTGAGCGAGGGCGAGGGCGACAGCGTGCCCTTGGCGAACATGGCCACCGAGTCATCGCGAGAAGCACCCGAGAAGCCCCGGGAACGAGGTCGGTGTTCGGCTCTCTGCCATGGACCAGGCGAGTCGCCCATCACCAGTGGGGAGGGGAGCGGGGTGATGTCGCCCAGCGCGTTGAGTGCGGGCGAGGATATTGCTGAGCCGGGCGACAGCGAACCCAGGCTCGCAGTCGACCAGGCCGTCCTCAGGTAGCCGTCCTGGATGGCAATCGGCGCTGTGGCCGACTGACGCAGCGCGTCGCTCCCGTTGGCGTCCAGATTGGCGGGATCGAGCGAAACCGCCCGCGATGAAGTTGACTTTGAGATGGCAAGGTCCGTGTCTAGTTTGAGCGCCGTTGAGGGAGCGCGAACGTGGTATCTGGGCAGCGAGGGATCCGTGGTGCCGAGTTCAAACGAGAGGTCCGAGGGCGTGAGGGTCGAGGCAGCATTGGGGTGTGCGGCAGACAGCAGTGAGGCAGTGGTGGGCGTTGTGAGGGTGCTGTGCTCCTGGTTGGGCGTGTCAGCAGCAACAGCAACGGCGGCGGCCCTTTGGTCGGCGCAAGAAGGCGAAGGCGCGGGGCTAGGAGAGGCTGACGCTGGGCCCTCCATGGTGTTGTATCGCGGCGGCGGCGGGACACAAAGGAGTGGCTCGTCCATTAGTCGTCGGTCTACGGTCTGCGGGTAATGCTAAACATGGACGTGCGCCTCGTGTGGCATCCCTAGCGCATCCCCTCCCAGCGTCGGCCCCCATGGCTTGCATCCAGCCCTGCCCATCCCATTGCAGAGGCTGCCACACTAGGGCACAACCGGACGGCAATCTTGATAACCTTCAAACAGGTAATAGTCTCGCCCATTATACCGCCGATCGGCACGCAATGGGCTGGCTGACTGACTGCGTGTGCGGCTCATGTCTCCCTTGTCGCCACAGTCACGAGAGCCGCACCCTCTCCCTTTCCTCACCATGTATAGACGCCGCCAGTCGCGCCATGACATAGAACCTCGTTGACACTGCTATTTCTTCTATTCGTTGACCTACTTGCTTGGCTCACCCCCTAATGCACTATAAGTACATACCTCATGCTATCCAGGGGACCCTCTGCTTCATTAACTATAATACAAAATCTTAACAAAAGACTAGTTCGGAACATTACATCTCGCCCGAACCCAACCTCGCTAATGCAAGCTTCCTTCTTCGAAAGCCCGAGCACCTTCTTCTTTCTTTTCTCTCATTTGTCGTGGCCAATCAGGACGGGCATCTAGTTCCCTTGTCGATTTCACTTCGCCTGTTCGTGGTTGTTAAACGGGTACTGCTGGTCCGATGAGGAAGGAGAGTAACCGAAAGGAGAGTAGCTGCTAGAGTATCCAGTATTGAAGTGACCTCCACTGGCAAAATGGTAAGGGTTCGTTGGGTATGAAGGGCGATCTTCTTTGCTATTGCGCCCAAGATAACCGGCACGCGCAGCCCATTGGCCACCCTGGTATCCAACACGACCATCGTTCACAATATCTGGAGGCGACATTATGCCGCGGTTATCGACCACATTGCCCGCGTCAGAGACAGGACCATGATTACTAGCAAAGCCTTGAGGCTGGGGATAACTCTTGTTTGGAGTACTGTTCTGTCCGCTGACAATACAGGGCTGACCCGCCTTCTCCTCTGACGACTTTTGCATGACCTGCAACATATGCTTCAACTCCTTGATTTCTGACTCCATGCTCGCCATCTTTTTACCTTGATCTGCGAGAGTATCGGGAATGCCCTCGTTGATGTTATTCTTGAGCAGGTCGAGGGTAGCGTAGACGTTGTCGTGGTTGGTCGTGATACTGTCGAAGCGACTCATGTGTTCGTGTATACGAATGACATTTTCTTCAAGTTTATCCAATTGGGACTTGAAGGCATCATAACGTTTGTTGATCAACGCCACCAATTCGTCATGCCTCTCCTTAGACATATTCTTGTGCTGCTTGCTAAACATTTCGAGAAGATCCCAGGTTGTTTTGCCTACCACATCTAGGTGCTCGTTCGTCATGAAGAAGTGGTCGTCAATGCTCTTGGGCGAAAGAGGCGGTGGAAAGGGCCCAAAGTTAACAATGGGAGGCACCAACGGTCGGGCTGTGGGGACTAGCACTGATGCTTTGTGCAGTGGGCTAGGAACAGCACTGAGACAATGAGGTCGGAAGTCGCCATGTGACTCGCTTCCACCAGGATTGACTGTATCCAGCATGTCCGTGAGCTGTGAAGACGACTGATCTGGGTGGGGATGACCGCCATGGCCATTATTATGTGGCATAGGGTCGCAACGATCGCTGATGCGAAGCTCTTGCATAACGCGTGTTGTGATTCTAGTCTCAGGCTGCATGCCCTCCACTCTAGCACGCTGTTGATTCTGGTGAATTTCTCGTGCAGTTGGTGAGTTTGGATCAATATCTCTTGGGTCACCCTGGAAGACCATTCTGATGGAGCCGCTGGTGGAGACCTTGCGTAGGTGCGGTTGTGATTTCAACTCAGAAGGGAGTGAGTATACGAAGCGGCTAGCGTCGGTCTGAGGGGTATTGTCAGTGTTTGTTCATAAAACAATATGTTTATTCAATGAGACGCGGGGTAATCAAGGTGAAGGTGAGGGTACGTGCGAGTCGGTGAGCCAACGGCGCTGCATTTTTGGTGAATGCAAATTGCAGCAATGATGGTAGACTCACATTCGTGGACGGTGTCTCACCCTCCAGAAACCCGTGGGCAGGAATGTCTTTGGGAGAGTAAAATCGAGGCTTGAGTGGGCTGTAACTGTTCTGCTTGCAGATGCTGCTCTGGTGGTTCTCACTATTGTGGTCTGGACGAGGAAGGAGCGATGCCTCCTGACTAGTACCTTCCAGCGGAGCACTGCACTTGCCTTCAGGCTTGGCCCGCGAATCAGTCCGCTCAGGGTACGGCCATGTCAATGCCTCGCCCACTATCAACTTCGTATAATCCTCTGCGTCGTAAGGTCGAAATTTTGTTGGACTACGGCCACTGTTCTTAGGCAAGGCGTCCAAGAATGGCGATGGTGACAGATCGAAGTTTGGGAAGTGAAACTGCGCGCTTTTTTCGCCTTTTTGGTCGTAGCTTTGACGAAGGTCTTGGGCGGGAGCTACCCTACGAAGCGGACTTGCAGGTCTCTGGTTTGGAGGAGTGTCCTTGGCAGGTGGTGTCGGTGGGATTATTGAGTTTGGCGACGCACCAAGCGCAGACCTTGGAGAATTATTCTCAGCATCAGATGATTGAATCTTGAAGCCATATCTATCAGGCGAGCCATGTCCCGTCGTGGGGCTGCATCGTGACGGACCATAGCGGTGGCGATGAGCGTAGCTATCAGGGTTGGCGACCTTTGTAGGCAGTGACTTTACGGTTTCCGAGCGAGAGGGCTTTGCAGGTCTTGGTTGAATAGGCACTGCCGGCTTGATTGGGCGGACTTGGACAACACGGGGCTGTCGTGCTGCTGTACCCAACACTTGGGCTGCTTTGGACGGCATCGGCAGCGGGGCTATGGAGCTAGATGACTTGGAGAATGGGTTGCGGATGTTTTGGAAAAGTTTCTTTTTGGGACTCTTGGTTGCCTCGTCTTGGTCTCTTTCTGTCTCTGTGTTGGTAGCCCGACACTGTGATCGTAAATCTTCTATCCTGACATAGATCTCGTCCTCATTCAATTCGCCTTTTGTCTTTTAGTTTACACCTCTTGAATAGGAGTTATCAACTCACCAGTAGTCGGGGTAGGCGGTATCTGCCCACTCATCTTGAAGAAATTTCTTTCCGACCGCGACTCAATCTCACTTCGAGCTGTCTTCTGGTCAAGGGCTTCAAGCTGGGCTTGAGCAGTCATGGCACTTTGCTGACTGCGGCCTGACTGCTTTGAACGTGATGTTGAACCACGGCGGCTTTCTGCTGTAGAGCCACGGTCTGATTTGATGGGAGATGACACACGTGCCTGTTCCATGAGATTGTTGAGTGTAGCCATGGCGTTGCGGCTCCTCCCAGGAGCTAAGTGCTGAGTTCGTGTCCCAGCCAGATCCATAGGTGTGGTCATTGAGGTAGCGTCAGCCAAGTACTGCTCCTGCCGAACAGAGTTTGATCTATTACGAGCATGTCGCTGAGGTTTCTGTTGGCTCACAGGTCTAACATCTGGCCGAGGTCGACTGAGTTGCTGTGGGAGGGTGGGTAGGTAGGGAGGGAGAGACGGAGGGCGTTCCTCCTCTTCACTGAAGCGAAAAGACATATGTGACGGCCTTCTGGTGAAAGACTCTGTTTTGTGTGTGAGCCGGCTGCGGATGACTGTGAAGGGGGAGAGTGAACACACCCTATGGTATTGACTCGGACGGAGTGAAAAGCTCTGTTATCTGTCACTGCTTACACTGGTTAGTGCTTGAGACTCAAGTCACAGTCGTCCACGTCCGGAGGTTCTTCGACTACGGGTGTGTGGAGAGTGAGGTTGTTGCTTGACGGAGAGATCTTTGCTGTATACAAAGTGCTGCCACAGGCAACAGCGGCGACAACAAACGCACGCCTCACTCACCTCGACTTTGAAGATAAACGAGACATGTATAGTCTAGAAATGACGTATTGGAAAAAGTGAAAGGAGGGCAAAACTCAGCTACTCCGATGCCAACTGTAGTACCAGAGGCACTGCAGTAGACCCCAACGGTCTGCAAGCAAGATAGCCTCGAATTGGGAACTTGGATGCATCTGTAGATGGAAACTGGAATGTGATGTTCGAATTGACTGTCGTCCGAGCACTGTGCAGTGCCCATATGCCAGCCAGATCAATATGTAGAGTGCAGAATGAAAACGAGCCTGGTAATGGCAGAAGAAAAAGATCGCTACCCACAAATGGCGCCTGTATTCGAAGAGGTATCCAAAAGATTCATCGCCTAATCAAGAAAGATCTGCAATCCAACGCTCCCTAGCATGCGGTTGAGCTCAACTATCGCCTTCACCCATGTTCAAAGTATGCTGCACTTCTTCCCCTTCTTTCTTTCTCCGCCCTCTTTCTTTGTCGCCGGTGGCTCGAGTGCTGCTACGATTGCCTGTAGTTGGGATTAGCATCATGGGAAATGGGCAACTTGTCATGTCCACCTACCTCATCAAAGACATCCTTAAGCTTGAACTGAGTTAGCGCCGAGCACTCTACGTACTTGACAGCACCAAGCTCGCGCGCCATTCGCTCGCCGTCCTCCTTCTTCACAGGAGCCATTCTCTGCTTGGACAGTTTATCTTTTACTGACGCATCCTCCCGCAGATCTACCTGTGTGCCTACAATGAGACACGGCACGCCGGGGCAGTGGTGGTGCACTTCGGGAAACCATTTCTCGCGGACGTTCTCGAAAGAAGCGGGTGAGGTGACGGAGAAACAGACGAGGAAGACGTCTGTCTGGGGGTAGGACAAGGGTCGGAGACGGTCATAATCCTCCTGTCCGGCAGTGTCGAATAGACCAAGTGTATAGGGCTCGTCACCAATCCTTCAACGCAGTCAGCAGCTGCTCCACCAATAACAGGCGGCCCAAAACCCTGGTCCGCCAGGAGCATGCATTGCTTTTCCAGATGTACGAGTGGGGGGAAAAAGCAAAGGAGGGCTCACATGACGGTCACGGCGTAGTTGTCGAAGACGGTAGGAACATATTCTGAGGGGAACTTGTTCGTGGTGTAGCTGATGAGAAGACATGTCTTTCCGACCGCACCGTCGCCGACGACGACGCACCTGCAAGTGGGTGGTGTTAGTGAGGAGCACCAAGGGTGAGGGTGGAGACTGAGGGCTTCACATACTTGATTGTCGCGACAACCATGGTGGAGGAAGAGAGGGCAGAACACAGCTGGAAAGGCGTGGGTGGTGGTTGCAAGGACCGGTTCCGAGGGCAGCAATGTCGTGTTTGACAGTGGCGTAGAAACGGTGACGGAAAGTCGGGGTCGGCCGCTGGGGACTAAGTAGACGGTAATGCGGAGATGGAGCTACGGGCTGGAGCTAGAGCCGCAAGGTGTTATGCAAACGAGGGGTCGAAAATGAGTGGAGAGCGTCTGAGCAGGCCGGCTGGTCAGTCTCACAGTATGCGACGACGAGGGTGAAGACAGCAGACTCGGGCAGGCCTACCTGGGACTCGTCGTGCAGACGGGCGGCAGCGGCGCGAGATTCGGTGGGAGGGGGAGAGAGAGGAGGGTGAAACTCGAAACGTTAGACTGCGCTGAGGTCGGAGGAGCAAGGCAAGGCAAGGCAAGACAAGGCGGTGGGTGGGTAGAGGACTTGTGGGCGGTGGGCGGTGGGCGGAAGATGTGGCGGGCAGGTGAGGCAGTGCCAATGACGAGGCACGCGACCGGAGAGAGACAGCACGGGCGCAGCAGCCAGCGGCGGGGAGGCGAGGATGACAGGAGGGAAGGGAAGATATTGAAGGCCTGGGATGGGGCTCGAGTGAGGTTGCGAGATGCGCCTACGGTAGCGGAGGGCCCTTGGGCAGGCCAGCGGGCAGAGGCCAATCAGTGAAAGTCGGTCTAGCACTGTTATCAGAACCTTGCATTCGGCTCCCGCCCGTAGCTCGGGACTGGCGCAGATTGTATGTACGGGAGGTTTGTATGTATGTACATAGGATCTAGATCCGTACATATACCTGTACTTGTGTGCACGCTGCAGACTCGGCGTCTGCACAATTCCTCCTTGTGCTGTATGTAGACCGTGGACGGTGGACCGTTTTGGTGGCCAGACCCCCAACCACACGAGATTAACAGGCATAGCACACACATACACACACACTCTCAACGCGCGGCGGTCCCTAAGCCCACAGCGCTGCAGTGCACCACGGCGCAGCACACTGCAGCTGCTGCTACCGCCGGGGATTAGCATTGGCCTGATAGACGCAGCACAACTCGCCCATGTATGCGGTCGACATGCTCTCGTGGCATTCACAGTGCACCCCTGACACGCCGGTTGGGCGCCCCAGATTTGACGCCATCCGTGCACCTCCAACAACGTGGCTGATCGCCTTGCCTGTCCATGTCCACGCAGTGACTGCTTTTTACTTTACCTACTTGCTGTGCTGTGCCGTGCTGTGCTGTACTGTACTGTGCTGTACTGTACTGTGCTGTACTGTACTGTGCCGTAATGTGCCGTGCTCTGCTGTGCCGTGCTCTGCTGTGCCGTGCTCTGCTGTGCTGTGCTCTGCTACACTCTCTGCTCCCCCACCCCCAACTTCACCTACCCTCGGCCCAATCCCGCAATATGACCTACCTGCCGCCCTGCCATGCATGTGCTCGCCCAAGAAAGACATGTTTCGACTCCCTCCATGGATGATGCCATGTGCTGCGTGCTGCAGCTGGGTCCCGTAGCCGACGCTTCACTCGATTAAACTGCCTAGGCCTGTCCAATGCTGCAGGGCAACTCTAGCCCCAGTCGATCCCGCCAATCAACGGTTAGCGTCATCATGGAGGAACACCCGGCCCGTAAAGCTTGGGCCCCCGTGTCTACATCTTGTTGCGCCTCATATGTGCAGTGTGAACAGGCGCGCAGAAGAGCAGAACGGCCAAACAGCACAACCCCAGCATCCACCCTCGATCCACTGTGCCTTGGTTCTTGAACCTGCTGCCATGGACCAGCTCGAAGATGAGCTGGATCTGCGTTACCACAAGGGTTTCGATCCCGACGTCTACTATCGTTGTCCAACCCTTGAAGTAACCGACTCTCCTTCACCCTCCCTCGATTCAGCTAAGGTCTTCTCTGTCTAGTCCCTCACAGGAGCGCTGCGCAACGAAGTGGACAAAAATGCTTCAAGCTTCATTCCTACCCATGTCGTCACTGAGTTTGTCTTTGCACCTGCTTCGACCATCACAATACCCGTGACCCAGCAACCAAATCTTGGTATTCTGATAGAGCCAGCCAACCATCTCCAAAGCATTGCCGTTGAGCATGCGCTATGCAAAGACATCCATGGCAAACAACGCCTTCAGGTGCAGCGGGCAATTGCGAGGTACCTGCCTTTCTGCGTGCGCTGCAACACGTTCACTCATTCAGTACAGATCCATCATTGCAACCATTCAGGAAACAGATCACTTTACCTACTCTGAGCGCTCAGCTCGGAACAAAGATGGCGGTGATGGCGCGAGGTTCAGGTATGTCTGCTTAGACAGCATGCAGAACAGATATCGCAAAAGCAACAAGAAGAAAGACGTGTCGCATGACTCTGATGGAAGTGATGTTGAGGCTGAGAAAAACGGTAATGGCGTATTGCCTACCTATGACTGCGGGGGAGCAGTACATATCAAATTCTCCCTTAAGCGGGAAGCGATAAATGTTGTATACAAGCATAACCCTATACACATGGCACGCCCAGCCAGCGACGGGTGAGTTGCAGATATGAAACTGCCGAACAAATACCTTCGCGTCTCCCTTACGCACGTAGCCACCCGGCTCGTTCCCGTAACTGACTTTGCTGTAGCCTACTTGCGCCAGCCGTCGATAACAACGTCGCGCCTCCAGCTGGAAGCGCACATGAAAAGCCGCCACGAAAAAAGAGACGTAGTAAAGAAGCCGAGGCTGGTGTGGATAACGAACACCGAAATACTGATCCTGGAATATCAACATCTCCAGTATACCCAAGGCCATCGGCAAAGAAGCGCAAAAAGGAAGGTGCTGTCGTATTGTCTAAGCCTATCCCGACTACATCCCCCAAGCAAAGCAAAAAGACGAAATCGCTCACGTCATCTGCCAGACCTCGAAAGAATGTTGCTGTTAGCGAAGAATCAAGGCCAACATTTCCAGTCCCGGACAAGGCGTGCATTCGCTGTCGTGAAAAGAAGATCAAGTGCGACAAGGCGCAGCCCGCTTGCGATCAATGTCGGAGAGGTCTCTGGACATGCCAGTACAGCGTCCTGGCTCCGAAGAAGCAGCGATCAAAGAACGGGTGTCTTCCCTGCAAGAAGCGAAGACGCAAGTGCACAGAAGAAAAGCCATCATGCGTGTATTGTCTGCGTACAGACAGCGACTGTGACTATGCGGCTTACTCATCCATTCGCTGAAAGTTCCCGACACCATTGTTACTCGTCCACACGTGAAGTAAAAGCCCCTGGTTACTCCAGATCCGACGCCAAGTCCGCCGTTATGGAGACGTAGAGCGGGGAAGATGCATACCCATCAGCCACTTATTCCACCATGCATCGCTAATTCTGCGCCAAAGTCCACTTCCTAAACCTACACGGATTTTCATTCTCCCTCCTGACCGGAAAATCAGATGATGCAGTCTGTCGTGTCATGTGGAGCTCGTAGCACAGTTTGTTTACCTTACAAACAGTCGGGATTGACTACAAAAAGAGGTCGCATGAGCGTGCGCCAAGGCATACCAGAGGGGCACTTAAGCACTTGAGTAGACGGTCCCTAACATTTTATAACACGTGAATGTCGAATAGTATGCTCGTGCCTACACCGAGAGGCTTTGCTAAAATATTAATCGCAAACCACGACGTTCTTCATACCTCGAAACTGTGCACGAATAGAAGAAGCCGCCACCTGATCAATTTAGTCCAGTTCATTGCTCATCACAGGATCTAACCGCTTATTCCCCGCAACCTTCTCGGGCCTTGACTACACGGCAATTGCGTCCGTAGTGTTTTCTCCACTTGTTATGCAACATGCCATTTTCCTATTCGCTGTATCCCCTGTTCGCCGGCTGTTAAACCTAGGAACAACGGCCCGCCACCATATATTCCTTCTACCGCCTCATCAAACATACCGATCATCACTTTACATCACACGTCATTTAGTCGCTCCCTTCTCGGTATGGGAAATGTACAAGGTTACTCCGGTTCTTGCCATGATATGCCAAGTAATGGATTTGGCAACATGCCCTTGTTTCGGCTCACAAGTTCCGCAGAGGAAAAAAAAATCTGAGTACTTAAAGGGGTGACTTGCCTCTGTGTGGTGCATGCAGTAGACGACCCTCATTGACTTCAAGGCCTTGACATCTCCAAAAATGCGGTCTGCGATCTTCCCGTTGCTAGCTACGGCGGCGCTGTCTACAGGTGCACATTTACTACTTTGCACATCATGATAGCTACTAACACCATCAGCCATCCCTTTCGACCAGCCTGCTTCGAAACGTGCAGTGGGCAGTTGGGATGATGCATACACAAAGGCAACAGCAGCACTCGCAAAGCTATCGCAAGATGATAAGATCGGAATCGTTACGGGTACCGGCTGGTCGAAGAGTAACTGTGTCGGCAATACCAAGGCAGCCAGCTCGATTGGATACCCCTCGCTATGTCTACAAGGTAAGCAAACATGTTTCACATAAATTAAACCGACCCGCACCCCGGTACTACACTATGTGATGCAAGATCCATTGTGGTCACAGAACATGTTGTAGCCTGCACGTATTCTGCGGAAACCGTAACTAACAGCACAAAGATGGTCCCCTTGGTATCCGCTATGTCCGGGGTATAACCGCCTTTGCAGCTGGCATCCATGCCGCCAGCACTTGGGATATCGATCTCATTCGTGAAAGAGGTGCTTTTCTCGGTAACGAAGCAAAGCAATTGGGTATCCACGTGCAGCTAGGTCCGTCTGCTGGTCCCCTTGGCAAGTTTGCCAAGGGCGGCCGTAACTGGGAGGGATTTGGATCAGATCCTTATCTTCAAGGCATCATGATGGCACAGACCATTGAGGGTATGCAAGAAGCCGGTGTTCAGGCCACTGCTAAGCATTGGATTGTGAATGAACAAGAGCTCAACCGAGACACTATGAGCTCTGATGTGAGCGATAGGGTTCTGCGCGAGTTGTATGTTTGGCCCTTCGCGGACGCCGCTCACAGCAAGGTTGCGGCATTCATGTGCAGGTAAGTGGACTTTATGACACTATGGTATTTTCAGATAGATACTAATGTACTTCAGCTACAACAAGCTTAACTCAACATGGGCGTGTGAAAGCGAAGGCGTTATGCAAAAACTCTTGAAAGACGAGCTTGGCCACCGTGGATACATCATGTCGGATTGGAATGGTATGTAGAAAGTGGATGTGCTTAGATCAAACCGAGCTAACATGGTTTCAGCGCAACACACTACTACTGGCAGTGCAAATGGTGGCTTGGACATGACCATGCCCGGCAGTGATTTTAGTGGCGGAAACGTGCTCTGGGGACCGCAACTCAAGACCGCCATTAGCAACGGTCAAGTTCAGCAATCACGCCTCGATGACATGGTCAAGCGAGTCCTTGCTGCGTGGTACCTTATGGGTCAGGACAAGGGTTATCCCGCGACTTCCTTCAACTCCTGGACAATTGGGTCAAAAGAAATCAGTGGAAACCACGGGACCAATGTCCGAGCGACTGCTCGAGACGGCACTATCCTGCTGAAGAACACTAACGGTGCGCTACCCCTGAAGAAGCCAAAGAGCATTGCTGTCATTGGAACTGACAGTATTGTCGCACCTCGCGGGGCCAATGCTTGTGTCGACCGTGGATGTACCGAAGGTGTTCTTACCATGGGCTGGGGTTCGGGATCAGTTGAGCTTCCACTCAATATGGTCGCGCCACTGGATGCCATCAAGACACAGGCCCAAAAAGACGGTACGACAGTTACTTCATCGCCCACCGACAACGCCCAGCAAGGCGCTAGCGCAGCTCAAAATGCTGAGATTGCCGTGGTATGCATCAACAGCAACGCTGGTGAAGGCTACATCAATGTCGAAGGCAACGCTGGCGACCGAAACAACTTAGACCCCTGGCACAATGGCAATGAGCTTGTCAAGGCGGTTGCTGCCGTGAACAAGAAGACGGTGGTTGTCGTTCACAGTGTTGGGCCAATCATCATGGAGCAGTGGATTGAGAACCCCAACGTCGTTGCAGTAGTGTGGGCAGGTCTCCCAGGCCAAGAGCCCGGCAACGGCGTTGTCGACATCATGTATGGCGCAGCGTCGCCAAGCGGCAAGCTTCCTTACACGATTGCGAAGAAAGAGTCTGACTACGGCACCACAATTGCCAGGGGTGACGACAAGTCCTGGGATCTGTTCATCGACTATCGCTACTTCGACAAGCAGAACATCACGCCCAGGTTTGAATTTGGCTTTGGACTCTCATACACCAACTTCACCTACTCAGATCTCACTGTAACTGGCAAGCCTTCTGCTGGTCCTGCGACTGGTGCTGTAGGACCTGGAGGCCCGGTGGATCTCTTCGAAACTGTTGCTACGGTGACTGCCAAGATTGCCAACTCTGGTGGCGTTGCTGGTGCAGAGGTACCGCAGCTGTATCTAGGCTACCCTGCGTCTACCAACTCTCCACCAAAGCAACTTAGAGGCTTCACCAAGCTCAAGTTGGAGGCTGGTGCTAACGGAACCGCAACATTCAAGCTGAGGAGGAGGGACTTGAGTTTCTGGGACGAGAAGACGAGGAAGTGGACTGTTGCGACGGGCGAGTACACTGTCTTCGTCGGAGCAAGCTCCAGGGACGTGAGGCTGACAGGCAAGATTATTGTCTAGAGATGTGGAGACAGAACGTACAGGATACAACTGTGCCGGAGGCTCCGCTTCGCAGCGAGTTTTTCTGTGTACCCTAATCACACGGCCACGTAGTTTGCTCATGTGTAGTCCCATAATAAACTCTGCTTTGCACAGATCTCACCCAGTGGAATACCCCTATCATGATTTAGTCATACTACGTTCAAAGCGAATTATGTGGCAAGGAAATAATGACATCCCCCTAGGGCGTGATTGACATAGCCCTAAGGGAGAAAAAAAAGCTCGGCAAAGCTAGTCATGTAGGTCCAGTAGACCATAGCACCGCAGTGTTGCCGATATCGGGATAGAACACTTGTGACTCCTTTGGCCATCGCTTGAGTTTCTTGCGCATAGTCAACGAAAAACAAACACTCCCTTTTGTCAAGTCTTCACATATGATGGACAAGTGATAGTAAATATGCAATAAAGCGCACACACAATGTCAAGGCTCAATATATCACAAACTGCACGCTCGGATAGATCGGGCAGGAATAAGCAACACTCCCAAAGTGCACAAGGGCAGTGGGGCTGTGAATCACGATCCTCGAGTCTTTTCCCCGGATCTTTGTGTTTGAAGAATCTTTCGTGCTGGCTTACTTTGTTATCTTGATTGTGGCCGTCTTTGATTGGCGCATCGGCGTCATAGCGCAGGCTTCACGTAATCGCGAGCTGTATGAAATTCCCCGCGGTACGCTTTCTCCTCACTCACCATCGCCAACGCTTCTTCTCACCACACACATTCAAGCTCAACAATCAACAATCAACAAGGGTCGATTAACTGAACCCACCCCATTTTGATTCCGATAAAGACAGAATCGCGCATATGAGTGCTGCGCCTACACTCTTTACTTCCCAGGTACGTTTTGTCTGTTTGGGCGTATGACATCTTATCTAAAACTTGCCGCACACCGTCATTCACCGCCGGCCTTTTGCCGCAGCGGCTTGACGGTCGACGCATGTTCATTTCTTTATTCTTAATTCTTTTGTTTTCTCATGATCATGGCTAATTGAGTATTGTAGGATTACATCTCAGGTACGCTATTACAAGATGACGCGTTGACAGCGCCAAACTGACTCCATCTCTAGACCACCTGTGGAAGGCGTCAGTGAACTGAAAGCCTACCCAACAAATCACCGAACCAAATACCTCTCTACACCACATCTTCCATCATCATGATCTCCCAACTATTCAAACCCTCCACGGTCCGGTCCGCAGGTCTCCTGGGACGAGCGACAAAGAACCGCGTACAGGCACGCTACCTGGCTACTGTGCAATCAAACACCGAACGTGTTATGCCTACTCCTAGCGCACGCAGGGCCACTGCCGTCTCTAACGAGCCTGCCACTTTCACTATCAAGGTACGCACAATCATGAGTTAAAAATTAACCACGAGGCTCACAACTGCATAGAACGGCCCCATCTTCGAGGGCAAGTCATTTGGTGCCAAAACCAACATTTCTGGTGAAGCCGTCTTCACAACCTCCCTTGTCGGATACCCCGAGTCTATGACCGACCCCTCCTACCGTGGCCAGATCCTTGTCTTCACCCAGCCACTGATTGGTAACTACGGTGTGCCCTCCAGCGCCCGTGATGAGCATGGCCTGCTCCGATACTTTGAATCACCATACATCCAAGCTTCTGGCATTGTTGTCCAGGACTATGCCCTGAAGCACAGCCACTGGACTGCCGTTGAGTCGCTTGGTGCATGGTGTGCTCGCGAGGGTGTCCCCGCCATCTCTGGTGTCGACACTCGTGAGGTTGTAACCTACCTCCGTGAGCAGGGATCCTCTCTTGCTCGTATCTCCGTTGGTGAGGAGTACGATGCTGATGAGGACGAGGCGTACATTGACCCTGAGGCTATCCACCTCGTGCGCCGTGTTTCCACAAAGGCACCCTTCCACGTCAGCTCCTCTCTGGGAGACATGCACGTGGCTTTGATTGACTGCGGTGTCAAGGAGAACATCCTCCGCAGTCTCGTCTCTC